ATTTCATTTTCTACTTGTATTACGATTTCGAAGATGCTCTCTAATTTGTTTTACCGAGTCATTCGATCCGACAGGCAAAGTAAGAGTGTATATATAAAGAAAAAAAGGAAAATCAAAAAGAGGACGCGCGTGTCAATCTCGGTGAAGAGCGTAATGAATTATTCGGTGTCCGCGGGCGGGCTTAACTTTCGCCTCATTGTCCGACAAGCGCGAGTCATCGATGAAGAGATAATTACCGTCGAATTCGTACGGTAACTCTTCTGCAGGCCAGCTGCGAGGTGCCTGGCTAACTTTTCCGCGCCTTCACCTGGAAGCGCCGAGAGAAATCTGTAGGCTTCAGCTGCGCAGTGGCCAAAACCAGAGATCCATCGAGCCTCGGCCGAAATCTCGTCACTCGCGGTTCTCGTGAAACCGGAAGATGCTTGGGATCCCTGCAGCCTCTGTAAATGGCGCACGGTCAGCTCCAGTATGTCCGCTTTCTCCAGCTTGTTGATGTCCTCCCCCTCCGTCTGTAACCAACGAACCATCCTTAGTTCCGTTCGCACATTTTTATGATACAAAACGCGCCGCAATTATACGTAATACTGGGTTGGATGCAAAATAATTACGTGGTTCGTTTAATGTTGATGGTTTTTCGAACAAATTCTCGAGAAATTCGGGTTAATAAGTCCACGCATAGGATAATGTCGTACATAATAAGGGAAATTATATAGTTAATTAAATTTGACTGGCCTTTTATTATATAAACGAGACATAGTAATTATACTGTATAATTTTGCGTTTTTTACTACAGCAATCTCGTTTGTAATTGGTGTTCCGAGTAAATAAGAAACTTTCATGAAACTCAAATTAATAAATTATTGCAGACAATTCGTCCAGCACAGTACACGAAAGATATTATATTATTTACTGTATGAACAGTATATAACAGTATAACAAACTTAGAATATATTATTCATATTAACAACATTCAACGCGAGATAATCTATGTGTCCAAATTAAAGCTAAAATGTATTTTCAAAAAACCAAATGAATTTAGTTCCTAATAATAGTATTTTACTAATAAACTACATATTTTTTAAATTTTAAGTAACATAATAAGTTTCCTTTTCGTAACACGATACAAGATTAATAAAAATATGTTCTGAGAA